TAATTTGTCTGGCGTTTTTATGGTTGTGCTTTTACACTCGGGCACTATACAGTACTTGTAATACGAAGAATTCATTTTTTAAAAACAGTTGACACTGGACACACCTAGATGGATTGTTTTAAGCAAGCTCACAAAAGCTATTGATGTCCTTTGTCACACTAACACCTCAGAAAGAGACAGAGATCATTTCTCTATAAACTGTCTCCAAATTGACAGTACAATACTATCCATTGATTTTTGTTCAGTAGTGCTGGGCCAGTGAAGTGTTTAACTTATATCGATAAAATAGTGTATGCATACACGATGATATGACTATGACATTTAATTTTGTACTTATGTGTATGTACTAAACTTTTTACGTGTGGAATTTATAAATGTAAGGCCTACGATACTGCATTTTCAATCGAGTAGTTAAAATTTAGAGTACTGCCTTTACCCATAATTGCCCGCATTTTATACTTGATACGGTTAATAACAAGAAAGTTTTTTTATTTTGTATTTAGATTACATAGTTATTAACAGACTTTTATATATGACTTAAAATAACTAATATAATAAAATTAAAATATTTACAATAAAGCGTCAAAAAAATACTCCGCACCATTGCCTACTGGTAGCGTTTCCAGAAGACTGGCATCATTGCAGAAGAATTCACGTTGGATGACAACGCTAATTCTCTATTCTAGAAAAAGGCCGACCTTCTGGTCACGATAAGTGTTGATCAGTTGCTTAGCTAATTGTTTATACATACGATGACTATTTAAAAATACCTACCAAGTTTTGGTATTCACGAAATTTGAGGCTTTCTGCGGATGTAGCAGCAGCGGTGGCATAACCAGCTGTGCTTGGAAGATGTGATGGCGCGAGAGTGTGGACGCAAGTTGCGTCCTACTCAAAAGGCTTACCCATCTTCCATAGTCTCGTATAAGACCATTGGGTTCATGTACACCTGGAACACCGCCGATAACAAGAGCACGAAGGAAAATGTCGTGAATATTGGCATGTTGAGATATAGGGCCAGCGCTTCTGGTACAAGAAGGCTGTGATGTCTGATACTGTCAAGTTTCTCCGCAGTGACAGAGGTGCGGAGAACGACAAGGCGCACCTAAACGAAGGCAAGTGGCAAGGCGAAATGTAATGAAAATTATAAGCTGTGTTTTTAATAACTGTACTTAGACGGCGGCTTGAACTGCATGACATGATACATACCTATGATTTCACGGGCTTGCCGATCATGAGGTAAGACCTAAATTCATTGACTTTATCGGAAGCCGAAAAGCCGTTTGTACATTCAGTGAATTGTTAAGACACTATATTAGTTTGCAACACTTTAGCTCTGCATAATAGAAAGCCAAGCACGAAACGAAATCAGTGACTTGCCTCCAAAAAGTCATGAGAGAGACAAAGACCTATACCACACTTCTTTATTGGACGAAAATCGACGAAATTGCAACCAAATGATATTGTATATTTTTGTTACGAGAACGTAAGGCATACTAATCTAAATAAATCAATTATTCAATAGGGAATTACTCAGTTTGTTAACGATTAAAAAAATTAACTACGATATTTGATTTTACTGTCTGTCTGTACTCAGGAACAGTACTATTTTTGTCGGTAGTTAACCAAAGATTGGGTTAATAAACCGTAGAAACATTAACAAAATTAAGATAAATTCTTCAATCTAGATAGTTTCAGGATAAAAAAAATCATAAGCCGTTGAACTCTAGGCTTTTAAACTTAAGCGGGGAAACCCTACCTACTTATGAATGTACTCTTTCTTTGTACCAAAGTTGTCGAACCAAAATTAAAGGCGAAATTTCGAACAACAATCTTTTTATTTTAAATTATAGACCCTTAAACAAAACAAGTTTATTGTAAATTCGGCCATTCTCGCCCTTTGGTATTGATGCTTTTTTAGACATGATAAGCACGAATTAGCAAATAATAATGTACAATTGACTAAATTATTAAATGTAAATGGTTGTTTAGCACGCAGTTATCGTAGCTGTTAATCAATCAATCAATTTTGTATAATATTAGGTAGCCCGACTATACCGAAAACTTTTTCGTCAATATTTAAGAACCAACGGAGCAACGTTGGTTCTTAAATATTGACGAAAAACTTTCGGTATACTTGCAAATGCGTATGACATCATTTGAAGCCTTAATCAGACCACCTTTGTCTTTAACTCGAATTAAATAACTTCTATTTTCATCAGTCACAAGAGCCTGGTAACAATGTTCACATAATATATATGATACCTAATTTGTTTAACTATATAGCCAGCTATGTATGCAATTATATTTTGTATTCAGTGAGTATGTTTGGGTCTGGAATATAATCATCAGCGATCATTTATTTTTGGAAATTAACAGTTGTCTGACCTTCGGTAGAACCATCTAGCATTTTGATTCTCTCTGTTGCTTTGTTTAAGGCTTGAATATACTGTTTTTTAGCGGTGTGTAATATCCTAATGTCTTCGAGAGGTAAACAGTTGCCATTTATGCTGATTTTGAATTCGGCATGCACTAACAATTTTTTGTACGCTGTCATAAAGGCTTTTGCTGAGGGATTATTATTGAACCCACCTAATGACCGGATTGCTCCAAAAAACACTTCAATATGATCTTGCGATAAACAGCTAAATAACTAAGATATGGATTTGTGTTTGAAATATACTTTTCGTATATCAACAAAACGGATCGAATGCAAATTTGGAAGCCCACAAGTCCTCTTTTCTCTTCATGGTAGTTTTTTTTTTTAAATACGTTCTATTTTATAAAGAAAAAGATTAAAGATTGTTTTTAATAATAATTAAGTCGACCCAGTTTTTGAGCCGTCGTGGGGTTATGGAGAAAATATGTACTCTTATTTATTGTTTACACCTAAGGATTTAATAACAAAAATGAATATTTTTATTAAGTTTTTTTTACTGGTATTGGTAACTTCTTTAAAGGCCTTAGAAGATGTTGCCAGTAACAGTAACATAATTTTCTTTGAGTGTGACATCTTATCGGCAACGTCGTTATATTTAGTGTTACGGTTACCTGCATTCAAATAGGTATTACATTTATTACTAAAATATCAGATGGCTGAACTTTTTGAACGAATGACACTCAATTTCTCAAATAATAATTTACACAGAATTACATACATTACTGTACACAGAATTTCCTTTATTTCACAACCACCTTTATAAAGAAGTATTTACAAACCAGATCTTATCACTATAACGTCTTACATGTATTGATCATCAACATTAAAATAAATAATAACACATTAACGTCAATTTGTTTTTATTTACATAGCTTTTTTGCATACACACATTGCTAACATATGGAATAATTTATCTTCTGTGGTGCTTTCCTTACCCCAAGGGGGCAGATACTGCTTATCTTCAAAGTCATACAAAAATAAAATTTATTTCTGCCAAGTCTCTTGTTATTCAAATAAGAGTGGTATTTTTAATAAAATTTGGGTCATACACATTTTGAGTAAAGCTTTTATCTAGTAACTGGCTCTTACTGAACGAAAGAAAGAATGATTCTATTAAATCTTCACTAAAATTAACAATTCAACTTAATTAACACTCACATCACTAATTATAATGTCACTTAAATATGCCTATTAAAACTTAAATCATAGAGATATTAGAATAGAGCAAGCCTAAAGCCAAACTCGTGATGCCAGGTGGGAAAGAGAAAGTTGCTGTCTCTCCAATCCATAAAGAGCACTGCACTGCGCATGCTCACCTGATTAGAAAAAGACAACAAGAGGAGGCCTCTCGGCACCATCTCTCTCGCACTTGGATCACTGCAGAGTACAGGACTAGGTGGAGATATCTCAATGACTTAAACACGTCACTAATAGTTTAACTGTCAGTGTTTCATAGATATGCAGTTTAAAATGTGATAACAACTGACAGCTATCAACTTGTTCATCGGTTAGTGACGTATGGATTTAATAGTTCGTATCTTAGCCTCTCTTAATAAATTTAAATATTTATTATAACGTGAATGAGAAAATGTGGTTTAGGCACAACAATTAACAATGTAACATATATTTATACGAAGAATGTACATTTTTTATCAAGCGTGTATTTCGGCACCATAGACAAGTACTTTTTGGCGCTCTTTACGTCAGAGAAAAATTTAAGCAACCTCTCCCACTTTAAAAATAGTTTCTTGTAAATATCATTGAAATATATATATATATGAATTTGGCTAAGGCATTTTATTTCTGCGATTTTACAACCCTATGTCCACTAAAATCCATTGCAAAGATCCATGATGGATTTTTGTGAACTTTTGTGTCCACTTCAATACACTCAACATATTTTTAACGAGAAATGGATCTTTTAGGACATGCAATTTTCAATAAATCTTTATAAGTTCCTTTCTTTTTAGTTAAGCTGGCGATATACAGAAATACGTCAAAGAAGTAAGTATTAATTATAAAGCCACCATGGCCACATAAGCCACCATCTTTTCAAATAGATTTTAGTGGACAGAGGGGTTTACCAATACTATTGCTTTCTATTAAATTAAAGCTAGATTGACTGATAGAATACTTATTCTTTTTTATGTAAATACATACATATTATACATAGAATACACCCAAACTCCGAAACAAATATTTGTTGATCATACAAACATTTGGTCCGACCCGGGAATCGAACCCGAGACCTCAGCACAGCAGTCGCATACGCTACCACTGCACCACTGAGGCATTTTATATTAAACTATTATATACTAAACAATAAAATTATACTAATTTAACTTTATACTATTTTAAATGTTTTTTGGTTATACGCGCTAACTTCAAATACCCCTAGTCAGATATAAAACAATTTTTCAGTCCATTCAGTAATTTTTAAGATAGGTTGGTAGGTAGAAAACTATTTATCATCACGCTCCGACTTTGAGGAGCGCAGCAATGACTGCATCAATCACAGGAACCAGTTAAAGAAAGTTTGAATTCACTTCTTATTTAAACACTAATCAATAACATTAATAAATTGTACGCCATCTTTTTTCTTGTGCCAATAGTAATGATGTTTCAGAGACCCTGAGGAAATAAACCTTTTATTGCATAGCTTACAAGGAAAGTGTTTCTCCCCCGTGTGTCGCAACATATGTTCCTTCAACTCAAACGGTTGGAAGAACTTTTTATCACACTCTTGACAACTGAACTTCTTGGGATCCTCCATATGTTTTCTGCGCATATGTGTGACGTAGTAGGGCCGCCATGTAAAAGTCTTGCCACACACTTCACAGGTAATATTCTTAACTTTCTCTTTATGCTTCTCCAGAATGTGAAGGTGTCTTAAATATTCTCCAGAGAAACGGTCGTCGCAGTACCAGCATTTAAACTTAGTCGCGTGTTTGTGAACAAGTTCTTCGTGCTTTTTCCTGTACTTTTCTAAACTAAACATTTTGGAACACAAACCGCACGGATATTTGCCGATATCATGGATCTTCTTATGCTGTTTCAACCTATTTGCAGCTAAATATGTATCACCACAGTCCTCGCAAACGTAGTTATTGTAATGCGCGTTCATATGCCCGTCTAACTGCATATAATTAGTGAAGCCTTCCTTACACAGCGCGCAATGTAAGTCATTTGTCAGAACGTATGGTATAACCCGAGTGTACGCTTGATCTAAGATAATTTTATGCTGTACTTTTAGATGTTTAAACATGTCATTCCACGTTGACAATGGCGTACAACATACGTTGCATAACAAATTATCAATATCTAGTTTCAAGGTTTCGTTCATCCAGTGCGGTCTTAGTGCATATTCAATTTTGTGGGTTCTATCGTTAACGTGCTCTGTTCTCGTGTGAGTTCTGAGCTCGTCAGCCTCTTTGAAGAAAGGACCTTCTGTGGAGCAGTACGCGCAGTAGTATCTGTTCGCTTTGGACTTGTATGGAGTGGCATTTGTGTATGTTAGGATTGTCTTGACTTCTTGTATCATTTGGTACATTTTTTCTTTGTTAACTGTTTTCTCATCCAGAGACTCTGCCTGTTGGTCTGTGAAAAAAGTTAAACGTATTAAGTAATTAAGCTATAGGTCTATAGATTTTGGGATAGGAGTTTCTTGATTAAGTTATACCATAGAGAGAACACGGGGTACAAGTATTTTTTTTTTAAAACAACTCCCGCACTAGGAAGAAATCCTGTGTCGCGGGGTACTTTACAAACATACATGAAACAGACACAAAGAACACCCAGACTCAGAACAACAATTTGTTGATCACACAAAGTGTCGTTCCATGTGGGGATCGAACCCACAACTCTCAGCGTAGTAAGAAGCGGCGTGGCGACCGCTTAAACCACTACGCCATCTGTGCAGTCAACAAGTATACGAATAGAAAATACATTTGAGACGAGGTAATCTGATCAATATGAATGAATGAAACAATAAGTCAGCATCTCTTGTAAACTGACTTGCTTACGATGGTAGTAAATGTTTCGTGGAAAGGTTTTTGTTTCATGACGCCACTATAATAACATACTTGATGCAAATATTGTGCTGCTTTGTTTAATTCACTAAGTCCTTTATCTAGTAAATGTATTTATTATTTCTTTCCTGCAATTGTCCTCCTTTCTTATTTACATTCTTATTTTCTTACTTTCAATATAATCAGAATTTTCCTGTCTAGACAAGCCTGTTGGTCTAGTGGTAAGTGACTCCTAAGTTAGAGGTCGCGAGTTCGATTTCAACCCAGGACAAATAATTGTGTCATTTTGTCACCGTCATTTTGTTGTGTTTGGGTGTAATTTATCATGTATCTATAATATGTACGTATTTAGAAATAGATAAAGTACTAGATTTAGCTTACGGCTCCACCCTTTTTTTTTTTTTTTTCTGTCGGTGGCATGTCGGACTCGAACCGACTAAAACCGCACGCCGTCGCCGGGTACTAATAGCCGGGGAACCAGGTATACTCTAGAAAGGAAGTCCCTGGTGCCCCGACATACCTCGGGTCATCTACAGACGAGTAGACGACCCCCCCGTGTGGGGACCACATGTTCCCTGTGCTCCCTGGAAGCGAGCGCGCTTCGCAACGCGCTCGCCGCCACCCCGGCCTGCTTCTGCTAGGGTGACAGATGGCCTCACCTGTCACCCCCAGGCCTGCGCTTATGGAGCGTAACTCTCTCTCTTTCTATCTTAACTAACTTATATCTCCATCTCAACTTCCGTTCGCCTCGCCCGGTCACACTCGCTCTCGTCACGCATTTACCAAGTTCCTCCTCAAGTCAAGCGTGCGTAAAGAAGTTTTACTTCAAAAAGTATGTCCTTCCTCAAGAATCAAAATCAGTCCCATTTAAATCGTTTCAGCGGATTAGCTGTGAAAGTGTAACAGACAGACAGTTTATTTCGCATTTATTATGTTATCACAAAACATCGCGAAAGTTCAATGAACCGCGCAACCCGGGAATCGTTTAATAATAATAATGCAGGTTGGCACGGAACAATAAGTTTAAGCGTGAGGAGGTAACAACAGACACACTTTCGGATTTGTAATATTAGTATGAATAGTAAGGATGTTTATTAGCAGTCCGGTTTCCATAGTACAGGCTCCGCCTAGTTTGAGATGGCCGTGTGTGAGCTACAAGATTCGTGCGTGTATTTCAATATCTGTTTTAGATCTACCCATCGACCTTAGCAGTGTATCTTTTTCTTTTTACTGCTGTGCTGAGGTCTCGGGTTCGATGCCCGGGTCGGACTAAATGCCTGTATGATCTGTAAATATTTGTTTCGGAGTTTGGGTCTTTTCTACTATATGTATGTATTTATAAAAAAGTGTAAGTAATTTATCAGTCAATCTAGCTTTTATAGTACAAGCTCGCTTAAATTGAAACTAGATGGCGTTGTGTGTTATATGTCCGAAAATATTATTTTAATTATTATTTAAATAAAAAACTTCTTAACATTTCAGCCTATATTTTAGAAATAAATCCCGTTGACTAAATTATTCAGTTTACTTCAGTACTTGTTTCTACATGTTTATTCCTCATATGCTGCATCCAAAAATACTTCTGCACAAACCCCTGGCCGCATACATCGCAGTTATACTGCTTCTCTTTCTGATGGATCTTCATGTGGACTGTGAGTGACTTTCTCGTACCGTACCACTTGCGGCAAACGTCACACTGGAACTCCCTCAACCCAGTATGCTTTACCTCGTGTCTCTTCAACTCATTTTTATAATAAAAACCCTTTCCACAATCAGAACAGGTGTGTAGTTTGAGCATCAAATGATACTGGTTCGTATGTGACTTCAAAGCTCTCTGACTATCATATTTCTTCCCACATGCTTTACATTCAAAAGATGGTGTCGGTGCTCCGTGTACTGACACCTCGTGGCAAGTCTTTCGAACAGGATCCATAAATTTCTCGTCACAATATCCACATTTACGAGTCTTAGACGCTCTGATGTGAAGAACTCTTTCATGTTCCCTCATCTTGATCCTAGTGTCGAAGACTTTGGAACAATAAGAACAAATAAACACGCCCTTTTTATGGCGGATCAGGTGAGTTTTCAGAGCTCTTTTGTTAATAAATCCCCGGCCACAAATATCGCATGAATAGTTTCTGTAATGTTCATTCATATGTTCACTTAGATGTTTGAAATAATCGAACTGTTTACAACATACTATGCACTGCAGATACTCCGTGTCGAATTTAAAAGGTATTATATGTTTCATTGTGTCGGTATACATTTCTTTGTCATGGATCAGAGATAAATGATCCGTAAACTTGTCCAGAGATGCAAAATTTTCAAAGCAAACGTTGCATTGGAGTCCAGTAATGTCTAATTTTATAATGAGATCAACATAGTTTTTAACTTTAAGAACTTCTATAACGTCTGGATGTGTATTCAGAGTATGCATTTTAAGTTCTAGAGCTGAGGGATTCTGGTATGGACAATAGGAACATCCATAACCAATACCCCAGTGGCCTTTCACGGGTGTGGCGTTAGAATTTTCTAGAATATTTCTAACGTTATCCTTGAATTTAAATATAATTTCTCTGTTTAAAACTTTTCGGGAACCTGTCCGTCTTTCAGCTGTCCCCTCAGTGTTTTTCCATTGTCCATCTAGAACAAGAGGATCTCCTTTATTATTGTCATTTATTTATCACATAAATGGGATCCGTGTTTGGGGTTTTTTTTTTGATAATAGGCCTAATGTTTTCATGTAGCGGATTTTGAGACTTGTTGTGGCCAAACTTTCTCCTGGACTATGACGAAGTATTTGTGCGTGTCAGATATTCCCTGAGCGGTGTTACCCAAAAATGCTTACTTATGAGTAAAAACATAAGCACACGGTTCATCTGATTCTTAATAATCACCGATATTTAGACCCTTGCTAAATTGACGTCATTTTTTGCCGGCTTAAAAAGAATTGCTAAAAAACAACGCATAACCCTGCGAATCAAATATTTCAATGCGGCAAAGAAAATATAACTGTTTTTACAGTGATTAGAGAATACATTCACGTAGGGCTGATGTACTGTGAAACCAGTCGGCTGTATACTGAAAAACATGGGCAATACTGTATTTCTAGCAACAGTTTTGGCTCCACGCTTGCTGGTGACGGCCGAAACATGAGCGCTAACGTACAAGCTTACGTACCCCTGTGCTTCGATGCTCCCATGCGCAAAAGAAAGTGTAGGTATTGGAGTATGTGTTAGCTATTATATGAAATAGTGAAAGTGATTCCTTAAATAATTTAAAAAAATCTTAATAATGTACTCGTACATATATTTCCGTGTGATACAATTAAGTGTAAATCTTATGTAAAAAAAGTTTAACAAAATGTACTACATACGTGTCAATTGTTAAATGAATTAAAGTACACATGTTAATTTGACATACCTACATTTTTCGATATAGACACATCTTGAGTCTGGTAGAGCGGTGGGCCAGCTGATCACGTGGTAAAGGACAGAAGGGAGTTCTCGGAGACTTCTTTCCCGTGGTACACCACGGGAAAGAAGTCTATAGCTCCCGGGATAGCTAACACTACTTGTTACAGAACTCTCTGATGTTTCAGTCAAGCCATTTCACCGCTGGTAAGATCATGGTCCGTGGATGTTTCCATGGTTAAAAAAAAGTGTCTCTAGAGAGATGCTAGCTATATCGTTAAATCAGCGAATGGTTTTGCTGATTTAACACTTTAATACCGTAAAATATATCCTAACGTGTCTTATATCTGTTGTATCTGTATTAGAGAACTGAACATTTTGTATAAATATTTATAATCCGATTTTATACGCTCCCTACATCGCAGACTCTGCCCAATGGGCACTGTTATACAATTTTCCCATGTTTACTCCTCATATGCACTTTAAAAGCCGTTCTATGTACAAAAGCACGCTCACAACAGTCACATTTGAACCTCCTATCGTCCAAATGGCCCCTCACATGTTGGTTTAGACTACACCGTGTGCCAAAACATTTGTTACACATTTCACATTTGAAATCCCTAGATTTTGTGTGCGTTACTGTGTGTGATCTTAATTCTATCCTCGAAAAAAATGCCATATCACAGTATGAACACTTATGAGGTCTTAACATAAGATGGAATCGTTTTCTATGAGTCATTAAAGAACTCTGACTGTTATAAGATTTATTACATGCCTGGCAGTTGAAAACTGGAATTTGGGCACCATGGATTTTCGATTCGTGGCTTTGCACTAAATCTTTTGTCGAAAATCTTTCGTCACAGTAACTGCATTTTCTCGTTTTATTTAGCAATGCGTGCGTAACACGCTCGTGGACACTCCTTTTCGGTTTTGTGTCGAACACTTTTGGACAATGTGAGCATTTGAAAACACCACTTTTGTGTCTGTAAGAATGTGTTTGCATTGATTGTTTGTTAATAAAAGAACGTTCGCATACTGGGCATTCGTAATTTCGATAATGTTCGCTCATATGTTCTGATAAAAGTTTAAAATATTTAAATTGTTTCTTACACTTAACACATTGTAATGTGTTAGTTTCAAATTTAAATGGGATTATATGATTTTTTATATCTCTATGGATAATTTTATCGTGTTCTTTGATTAGGTGTTCCGTTAGAAGGTCTAAGCTGTCTATATTATGTTCACATAATTTACATTTGAGATTAGTAATGTCTAAACGTATGACCAAATCTGACACATATTTAACTTTTATGACGTTATCTCCCAAATTATCATGCGCTTCAAGATTATGTGCTTTTAATTCTGATGGAATTTCTTTCTGGACGTTACAAAAACAGCACATATAACCATTTCCCCAAAAGCCTTTGACCATAGTAGCGTTGGAGCATTCTAGAATATTTCTAATATTGTCTTTGTGTTTATTCATTTCGTTTACATCATTTTTCTCGGACTCTTTGCTTTCCTTCTTAAATTCTGCGTCAACTAAAGCTTTGTATTTAGTTCTAACTTCATCTGCATTAATAGGAATATCAATTATATCGCTTTCTTCGTTTTTAATGTTCATCACTATCTCTGTCATATCTCTTTCTTTATCATCATTTTTTAGTTTACAGTCCTCAGTTTTAACTTTTGTTCTTTTAATTTTCTTTATAACTTTATTTTTTGTAATGTCTGTGCGAAATACTGTGGGTTTTTTCCTCGATATTGTTTTAATCGGTTCCAGTTTGGTTTTATCCGTTGTAGTATTGCCTTTCTGGTCATCTACAACAAGAAATTCATATATTGTAGGATAGTTGCGTATTCTCACTTATGTTTAACATCATATTCATAATTGTTGGTTTCATCCTCTGCAGTTAGTTTATTTATTACTATTTAGAATCATCTTGTTAACGGCGGTATCATTGACAAAGATACATATACACCATAAGCTATTCTGACATGCGTTAATTTTTTTATGATATTGGGGTGAAACGAGCAGACAGGTCAACCGATGGAAAGTGACTGTGACGTTACCGGCCTTTAGGGTAGGAGTACGCTCTTTTCTTGAAGGTCGTATCGGTCCAGAAATACCGCAGGTGACAATTTGTCAATTTTTATATTTGACCAGAGGAATTTGAAGCTTTTCTTTCAATTCTTTTAAATTTTTTCGTTTAACCTTTTTTTTGCATTACCATGCTTGTATTGATATAAACCATTTTATCCAAAAAATAGTCACGACTCAACGGTAACCGTAGTACTAAATTCTATTGACAAGAACCACTTTCAACTTAGTATAACTTTAAATTCAATAAATAAATCATCAGCAGTATTAAGTAGTCTACTAATAGACATAGGCCTTTCCTTAGAAAGGAGATTTGGCCTACTATTACAAACATAATAATAACAAATGTATGGCAATCGCTTTAAAGTACAGTATAAAAGACACAAGTATCATACTTGGGGTACACATCGCTGTTAGTAGAATATAAATAATCCTTGCTACTTTCTTCAAGGTCTTGTAACATTGAAGCACTCATTGAAGCAAGAAAAATGAATAGTATCCTCTTGAAATAAAAGGGCTAAGTTTTAATAGACATATTTAATCTGCTTTTAAACCTTCTCAGAGTGAATGGCTAACATATGCCTTTTCCATGTCGACAGATGAACATAGCCCGTGTTACAATAATTACATTTATGTTTTCTGTCTCCTACATGAGCCAACATGTGCTGCCTTAATCCTGCTTTTGTACGAAACTTGCTGCCGCATAATTTGCACTGTATATTTTTTATTTGCATATGAATTGCGATATGCCAAGTCAGTTCAATTTTAGAATAGAACGCTTTTTCGCAAAATTCGCAAATATACGACCTTATTAATAAATGAACGCGCTGTTGGTGCTGCACTAGACTTCGTTGACTGTGGTATGCTTTGTCACAAGCTTTGCACTGATACGAGGGCTTTTTCGCGCCATGAACCCGAGTTTCGTGCGTGACAGCTGTCAGTTTTGATAGAAATCTTTCGTCGCAGTATTTGCACTTCCGCCATTTTTTATTAGTTCGTAAGTGACGTCTCTCGTGGTCGTTTCGTTTTGGTCTTGAGTCGAAAACTTTCGGACATTTTGAACAATGATATTCGCCCGCTTGATGCCTATAGTTATGTGTTTGGAGTGCCTGTTTGTTTATAAAAGGTTTTCCGCATACATCGCACGTATAATTTCTGTTATGTTCGCACATATGGTCGGATAATAATTTGAAACTGCTGAATTCTTTGGAGCAAATCACACAGTTATACCATTCTCTCCCAAATATAAATGGAACAATATGATTATTGACATCTAAGTTAGCATTTTTTTCATGAATTATTTTTAAATGGTCATAAAACGAATCTATGGTATAGAATTTGGTGATTTTAGTGCATAAATAGCACTGTAAGTTTGTTATATCGAGTTTTATGATTAAATTGCCGAAGTATTTTGGATTGAACGCGTGTTTCACGATATCATTGTGGTCGTGGCATAGAGTATGGCTCTTGAGGTCTTCTGGTTTAATAAAGACTTCGTTGCAGTAATGGCAACCAAAATTACTGAAGGAGTTGCTTTTAATCATGGTAGCGTTTGAATGATCCAATATTAGTAACAAATTGTAACGATTGCCAGCCATTATTGCTTGGTTTTCTAACTCTTGTTGTGATTTTATAAATTCTTCGTTTGCATCGTTTGATCGCTGACGGCTTTTACGTATTACGGTATCTATTTCTTGCTGTTTGCTCTTATTGTGTAACCTTAGGTGACCTCGCTTTGTTGTTGCAGAGGTATTGTTCGAATCTTTTGTCCTTGTCTTTCTCTCTGTGATGTGTGAATTTGACGGATGAGGTTGCACATCTACAAACAAGAGATGCAGATTTTTATTTGTTCTTTCGCATTTGTCTCTGTACACTTGTTCTTCTATGTGACCAAACAACGTACGTTGGCACATACTTTTTCACTTGGCAATGAATTCGAAATCTTAATACGTATGATATACGAGTTCTTTTTGCGTGGCTTGAACTATACGATGGCTTTGTCATTTTTGTAAGTGACAGTACTGACAGTGTATTGTCTATTGTATTGTATTGTCTATGTGACGAGTTTATTCTTGGCAGAAATCATTCCCTGTTATTATAAGAACATATGCCTAAAGACTTACTTAATATTAATACACTCTTAGAAATATATATAATCCTTTAGAGGCCTCAGAGTATCCACATATATGTATAATAAGTATGTATTTACAAGAAAAAAGTATATATGTATTTATGTCAGTTGTCTAGTACCCATAGTACAAGCTCTGCTTAGTTTGGGACTAGATGGCGTTGTGTGAATGTGGTAGAATATTATATTATATTATCTCGATATATAGGTTTGCGACCCTGACTTCGCTCACATTACACTGTCAGGAATTTATACAATTCTCATTTGATACATCTTAAAAGTTCAAATGACTTCAAAAAACCTATAATAAGTAGATAATCCATAGATTCACACACATGCACAGACATTACACGCACACGCACACACATACACTCTCACACACTCACGCGTGCACACAAGCAAACACACCATTTAATGTAATACAAAGTAATTTAAAAATTTTATGTGCTATGTACCTTTTGCTTAATTTTATGGAACTCAGCAACGGACTGTTCTTAACACAAGCTATACAAGTAGTCTAGCTAGAACGTCCAGGACTACAATATAAAAGGTTGTATTTTACGAAATAAATAAATTATTATTATTATTATTAAATCAAGTCTCACGTTTTCTCAATTAAAAGAGATGACAGCATGCAATAAAAATAATATACGCAGTTATACCACCAAAAAATTATAACAGAATTTTTCAAAGAAATCAAATTAAATCATATTTCGTGTTCTAATCATTGATATTATATAAAAACAAAAGGTAGATACGCCACTAACGCACAAAACGCAAGGGTCCTAATTAGGACCAATGCGAGCAAGATCACGTAAAATGCCTTTCGATGTATTCCGAAAGTGCACATATTACGACAAAAAGGTAAATAAAGGTAAAGGAATATCATACCACAGGTAAGTGTAGGTTTTGATCTAAAATGCATTAACAGATGCATATAACGTGCCTCCTTGTGTATGTATGTACATAGTTTTTTTTTTAATAACTGTATGTGCTCTAACACGCTTCGCTGTGGCACATTGATATTGCATTGATGAGAAAGGTGGAACAAACATATAAAAAACAACAATTGAAGCTGTTTGTATAACCTGTCAAAATTTAAGATCAACCGGTGCAGAACTTTTTGAGCTTTTGAAGCTAACACAAACCAACTTGACATTTTCTATACAAATAAATAAAATTGAAGTGTCTGTTTGTAATGTCAAAATAATAGGTTTTTTCATGGTGCGAACATGAAAAAACCTATTATTTTGACAGGTTATGCCTAAAAACCACTTTAAATGTCTTTTGTCTGTCTGTCTGTTTGTGCCGGGTCATCTTCAAAACGGCTGGACCGATTTTTATAATATTTTACTACCAGGTAGTTCTCTATGTACGGAGTAACTTAGGCTATTTTCCCTCTCAGAAAAACCCTATAAAATTTTGCGCGGTCCGGAAATCGAACCCGAGGTGATCATGGACTGCAGTCGCGTACCGTACTACACCACTAAGGCAGCGCTTGTCAAATGTCAAGCGAACAAAGTCGCGAGTACCACCTAGTTATAAATTTAGACAGATATATTTGAGATTCGTGCGTAGTTAAATAAATTCAATTTCCATTACAACAAAATATTTGGGAATTATCTACAAAAAACCACATTTACTAAAAAGCGAGCTGTACAATAGTGGCAGATGCTGTGTAACATCCTAACATCCAAGGTGCTATCGCATACGTTGGTAGAGAGAAAGAAGATTGTTTTGGTCTTGCATCTCTCTCTGCTCTTGTCACTGATAGGCTACTTTAAATGCAACAGCCAATTAGTGATGAAAGACCAAAACAGTCTTCTTTCTCTGTCTACCGGCCGTATGCTACCACTTACAGAGGAATATACAGTTCGCTTGCTCTATTTATATTATCTGTATGGTAACATCTGACATCTCAGCTGCCATCTAACTGACAACTCTAGCACTCACTGGTCAAATCAAATAGCGCTCCCTTTTATTGGTCAAACCAAATAGCGCGCGCTCTCATTGGTCAAATTAACCTCTCAAAAGCTGCCAAAAGCGCGAAATGTCGCTACATTGTAAAATGCTTTCACCGGTGAGCGCTGATCAGTGTAGCGGGATGTGAGAGGTTCAATAGCGCGCGCTCTCATTGGTCCAATTAAACAATGCCCGCTCTCATTGGTAAAATCAGATGGCGCGCGCGCTTCCACCGCTTCTTGTTAGACATTTCCGTCTCTTTTTATGACACCACTTCTACAGATCGTAGTAAGCCTCGCTTCAACGGTAATCGCGTTCAGTGTTGTGATTGGTGAAGAGTTCAGTGCGGGCCAATCGCAACACCGAACGCGATCACCGTGATGATCGAGTGTATGTGAAATAAACTTACTTACTCCGTAAAATGCAACAGACCTTGTTTTATTAAAGAATAGCCTGTGTTAAAAAATTTTGTACATATTAATGCAAAAAAATAATCAATTAATTAATTATAAAGCTAATAAGTTTTTTATATTGTTTGTTAAACGAGCTAATCTCTGAAACAACTAGTCGGATTTTAATGATTCTTTCTGTTTTTAATAGATTATTATTTAAGAAAAGGTTAGGCATCACGCTATGATCCTTAGGAGCAAAGCAGTGATGTAAACGCAGATAAAACTGTGAAGTAGTAATTCTTATATTTTTTAATAATTTATTTCCAGTATGGATGAACTGTCATTGTCAGATTTCTTGTATTATGTCAAGTCAACATATACAGTTGATGCATGTAGTTTGATGTAACAGTTTTACTTAAAAATAGCTACATATAATGTAAACAACGTGTAAGTACAACTCACATTTAAACAGCTAATATGACGCGCTGTTAAGAGCAAATTACTATTGAAAACTACTATAGAAAATTTTGTAAAGAGAGCACGAACTATCAACGAGAATAAGACGAAAACTATGCAGACTACCTGTCTCTTTCTAATATTAAGCATCAAACAGATCATTATAAATAGCTGTGTTAAAAGAAAAGAGAAATATCTTTCTTTAAGTAGTCCGTTCAAAATAAAAATTATATAAATATTTTTCAATGATCTATGACCGATCAGAAAAGATATAAAAACTATTCTAGAACTAAACGTCAAACATAAAAAAATAAAAGCTGTTCGAAATTCAAACTAAATTAAAATAACATACATAGCTGACGCTTACCGTTAGGATCAACTTTGACTTTTGAGCATATCGTCTTTTTTGGAATGTTGTATATCTCCGAAGCTTCCTGTGGTGTCAACTCCTCTTTCCGCACCGCTTCGAGACATTTCCGTAAATCTTCCTCTGTATATTGTTTGTACGTTTTGTAACGTTCAGATTTTGGCAATTTTTTGGGCCACTTTCTCGTTGGCTCAATTACAGATGGTTTTTTGTTACGACGTTCTTCTGTGTCCTTGGTTTGCATTTTTTGTTCTGGAAGTTTAAAATTAGTTATATCGTACCTTTTTTTTATTACAATGTATGTGACAAACAAAGGCTAAGAGTCGACTAAGGTAGTAAACTGTTGCAGATTAGCTTCTCTTACCTACTTATCACAGAGATTCTACACATTATACTTCTTACTCACCAGTAGATAAATAAATAGAGTCAACTTTAACTACTGATATTTAACATATCTAGATCAAATAAGTTTAAATAAAATCGTTTGTAGGTATAATAGTATGCAACTAAATCAATAGGTTAGTATAAAGCTTTATGAACAAGTGGTATGCTCAAAAACCACCCATGGTCAAAGAGTATTGAACTGGAAAAAACTGTTGTTTTTGTTGTAAGGGGCTAACGTGCACACGGCCCAGATGGGTCACAGGATTTTTAGTGCCTAATACGCCTCCCATAGTCACTTTTAACTTAAAAGGTAAAAGTAAGTTACCACCCTTTGAGTGCCTAGAATTAGAGGAGGGGGTTGTTGTTTGGTTAATAACAACGAAAAACTTACTTAACACTGGTTTTCTCTAAAGCCTTAATAATGTAATTTCTAACTTATAGGTTTACTTATCTATACAAATAAATAAAATTGGAGTGTCTGTTTGGAAAATCAATGCACGATACCTATGCCTAAAAACTAGTTTAAATATTTTTTGTCTGTCTGTTCCGGGTAATCTTCAAAACGGGTGGACGAATTTTGATAATATTTTACTACCAGGTTATTTGTCCTCTCAGAAAAACTCGATAAAATTTTGCTCGGTCCGAGAATCGCGTACCCTACTACACCACTAAGGCAGCGCTTTTCAAACTCCACGCGAACGAAGTTGCGGGTACCAGCTAGTATATATATAAAATAGTATTAATGGTAAACAACTTACGGCCAGCAAGAGCTTCCTTGTTATCTTCTATTTCTAAATACTCTACTTCTTCATAATCCATTTCATTTGAATTATTATGGTCATTATTATCATCAGGATCGACATAGTCAGGATCATCTGGATCATCTATGTAATTGCTGGTGGTAGCTCTAGCCTCGCTTTCTGAATATTCTTCAACTGAATAGTCCAGCCTCTCTATTTTAACTGGCAGCTCGGGTTCTAATAAAATAAAGAAATGTTTTTAAATAAATCAGGTTAAGTAGATGTCATGTTAGGATAGGTTTTTTTTCTATGATTGGTTAGTGTGGTTATATATTTGTTTTATTTAAAATATGTCTAATTCTGAGGAATGTCAAGGCTAAAATTCTATATCTTAGAAATTTTCTTAACAACAACAATAATAACAACAAACAGTAGTGGAAATACACAAGACAATATAGAATTCATGCTTTTAAAAAGTTTACTTAATTAATAATTTAACTTCCTTTCAGTAAGCAAGTTAGTTCATAATTACTATCACATCACATCAACAGCCTTTGATAGTCCATTGCTGGACATAGACCTCTCCTTAGAAAGGATGTTTTAGCCTACTATACCACACTGAGCCAGACGCGTTGGAATTGAGTTTGTGTCAAGTTTTCCTTCTCTTTGCAGTGCTGCGTAGTTTGCTCCCTTAGTCAGCTATACCGAAACCCACGAGTTGAAAAGGGGTGGTGACCTGTATTCTTAATCCGTCACCACACGTCACACTACAATTATTACTATTTATATAAATAATTTTACACATTAAATATTTGACTACACATGCAATACTAGAAAGAAAATAAATTTAAGAAAATAATAATTCATATTTTCTTCCTACAGTAACTGAAATTATATATTTGGACTTATCTGGTAACTGCTGATAAACATACTTATATATTTCTAAATAAATACATATTGTGAATAAATTATATCCAGACACAGAACAAATGATTGTGCTAATTATATCATTTTTGTTCTGGATGGAAATCAACAGTCAGGATCATAAACTAATACACCAGCAATAAAATAAAAAATGTCGTAAAAAAATGTCGGTTTTGACATATTTAATTACTATTAACTAAAGATAAACTTTTGGCTTTAAAGATAAACAAAAAACTAATACATCTCAGATTTGTTTTCAATACTCACTGGCTGGACGATCCACAATGTCCGTTTGTACGCTAGCTATAATTTTAAGTAAATAATAAGAGTTATTTCTTTAAATAGACTTTGAAAGCTATGTATTACAATATGCATAAACCAGAAGGCCAATTCTCATAATAAAATTCAGTCTCAATTCAATTCTGATCAACTTTCAATCTTACAACTGTCATAAAAGGTATTTTCGTTGTAAAGTATTAAACATCCAACATTGACTGTAGTGTGATTATATTGTAACCGAAAATTGAATCGGTAATCTGGTAGTCTTAGTAATGCTTCACCATTTTACTACAAAAATACCTTTTATGACAGTTGTGAGATCGAAAGTTAAACTTTTATTACGAGCAGCAGCATCCATTTTTCCTATTTTTCTTATCTACCTTCAAAAGCGTTTTCTACGGCTTTGCAAGGTTTGTTGCTACCCAAAAAATTTGAGGGCGGGCTCAAAATATTTGGGCTTAGACCTCACTCACTCATTGAAAAGCAAGGAAAGAACTGCTTAACAGCGCTTTTCTGTGAGGTAGCATCACTCCGATTGAACAACCCACAGTTTTCATTTTCACGGTTCAATTAGCATTGGCTTATTATAAAGTTGGCAGAACAAACCTTCATCAACATGATCCAGAAGTGTTTCTTGTGACTGCAAAATAGTCTTCTTAAAGCTGTCAGCCTCACGGAGTCGTGTGATACATGTCTCACATATTTGGTCATGATCCATAGACTCATCAGAATGCTCCCACTGAAGAAATAATATTTTATTTATTTAGCTGGATGATCGTCTCTTTTATACTACTCAAAAAATATATGGAAGGGAAAAACTGCAGCATCTTAGAGTTTATTATTCCCAAACAAAAATTTTACTTAGTATTTTATCATGTTTTATGATGAACTTTAAAACCATTATTTAAATATACTGAATATGATTGTATGTACTTCATTTTCCTCTAATTTTTTTATGATAAAAGCAAAAAAATCATTGTTTTTATTGCATCTGCTATGTAATAAAAAAAATGTACAAACTAACTAAAGAAACTTAAGTGTGTAATGTATTTTTAAAGATTTTAATCCTTGTTATATTCAGAATGTATAACTTAATTTGTCTGAAGTGGGCACAAGAAGTAAAATATAGGTATAGGTACTTTTACTTGTAAGTATTAACTAAAAGAAATAAAAGTGGTTTTGTTGAAACAAAATTTAATGGGGTACATGGTTTTCATGATCTCATCTATATTAAAAAGGTTGAACATCTTTTTAGACTGTTTACATCTACATACTAATTTTAATAAAAACATTATCTTTAAGTTGTAGACCTCTTTAACACAACAGATATCAACATTTTATAATTTTTAATAATACATTTATAGATAATACAATTATATTTCTGCTGTGTTTTATCATTTGATTACAGTCCATGGGCCATGTGACATTTTATGCAATGGCGTAAGCTAAATATGTTTTCCAATTTCAAAAATAAAATTCTATCTACTAAATAAGTATACATAGAATTCCCGAAAGACTATATTCCAATGCATAAGCTTATGTTTTGGAACAAAAGTATATGTCGAACAAAATTGGATAAATAGGCTAATGCCCAAAGTACTTACGGTTAGAGCAAAACATTGGATAAGCATCTCAACATAAACTTCCTTTTCTCCTTGCCAACTGTGTTCTTCCCACATATTTTTCAAGTAACCATAGTTGAGGCAGCATCTACACCTACCGAAGTAGGTCTTAATTTCAGAATTTCCTAACGACATTTCCGAAATTTAACTTAAAATACCATTGCAGATTGACCAACTCGAAGAAACACCACCATCATAATGTTTTTAAAATACAGATTAAAAATAAGTGAAATCGGCACTGGCAGGAAGCGGCAGAAACCATAGAGGAATACTTAGTACTTACTACTTTTAAATTGAACAAGTGCTCTATGCTTACTACGGAATCTGGATAACAATTTCTTCTGAATGAATAAATAGTATTTAAAATTTAAAAAAATCATTGTTTGTATTTAGTACACTTTATGAAATCTCCTTATTTTTGAAATTGAATTGTTAAAAAGAAATAAAAAAATGTATTGCAATAATTAGACGTTACCGGTTATTGACATTTTTTACTCTGTGATATTGACAATTTGGCGTGAGAAAGCTTTCTCTACGTAAAAAAAAATAGTTTTAAAAATGATCATTTGTAATAAATTCTGAATGTAAATAATGTAAAAGTGTCTTCGAATACAAAGCTTATACTGAAATGGCTTCAGTAAAGAATAACGGGTCAATAATAGACCCAGCCCTGTGTAGATGTTGTCGAGCTATAAAAAAATGTAGAATTCTCACAGAGGAATATACTTGGATGGAAAAGAAGGAAGTGTACTCCGAAATGATAATGGACTGTTTTGGTATATTGGTAAGTTTAAAAACTTTATTTAAAAATGGAATACAAAAAGTCACTAAGCACTTGTTTAATTCTTCTTATTTAGAACTTTGTTTACCTAATCTTGAAATAGATATTTGTGTAAAATAATTTGAAAAATAATAATATAGTTTTAATGTATCTTGGTAAGCGTACAAATATTTAGCAGTTAAATTTGAATAAAATCAGCAAAAAAAAAATACTACTATAATAAACTGTTACTCGTTCAAGTTCCAGGAAAATAATAATTTAAAATTGCTAGTAGATTTGTGTGTTACTTGATACTAAAATTAATTAAGCTTGTGGAGGAACGGGTGTTATGTCTCTCCAACACAAAGGGAGGCTCTTCCGACCAGGCTAGGTGATCATGCCTGGTGGGCCACGACTCAACAGTTGATGTTGCGTGTTTGTATATATGCTTATCGCCAAGAGATTTGTAATATCGTGATACAGGATTAGCAGTTACTCTGTAGTTCAATGTATTTTCGATAGATGGCACTCTAGTATGTATCTTTGTTTTATAGTATGTGGATATCGCTACAAGCTCAATGCTTTTGTTACGCAAGTTGCCACATTTAGACTTACCTGAATATTTTTGCTCACATCCTGTGTTGGTACTAGGCATGGGACAAAATGACAGTGAACTGTGAAAGACCGTTGATTTATCATCATCATGTTAAATAGCGTTTAACCTACCTACCTAGCAACCCTAACCTACGTAAGCAAAAATCATATGACATCACAGTCCACTGTGTATTTGTCCCATATCTAGTAGGTACTACTTATGTGCAATGCTCATAGTAATTGTCTACATTTATTTGAGGTCAGTGCAATGAGTTTTTTTTTTTCTATTCTCCTTGATCACTTATCATCCCTTTTAATGCACTCTCTTATTTCATTGCAAATTAGTTTTGACTTTTATTTTATCAGTGGCAGCCTGCCAACCCTCCATGGGAATGTAATTCCTTACGTTCACATTACACGTCATACATTCTTCATACACAATATGAAGGGAAAAATATTTGGGCATTTTAAACAACTGGGCTTTTCCAAGTTCACACCAAACAAAGCTGTTTTTCTTTTCTGTAGGACAGCCTTTTTTCTGTAGGCTATTATTACATTAATATTACTTTCATTATAGAAGAATGATTAAATTATAATATCCACATAGAGAGGATATTATAATTTAATCATTCTTCATATTAACATTGGAAGTGGCTATCTAAGTAAGTAGCTAAGTACTATGTAAGCTACTTATTTTGTTGTAACATGTACATACATATAATACATGACATAAAAAACACCCAAACTCCAAAACAAATATTTGCAGATCATACAAACATTTGGTCCAGGAATCGAACCGGAGACCTCAGCACAGCAGTTGCATACGCTACCACTAAAAATTAATACTTCATAAAATAAATATAATATCATTGCGAAAATGTATTTATTTTATGAAACAAAATTTTACTGACTGAAGCAAATCACTATTTTATTTAACAAAATTATATGTATGAATAAATTTTAAGCATTGTTTTTGCTAATATCTTAAATCTATTGTCAGGTAAAAAAGAAACATGAATAGGCACACCTTTTTTTTTTGTTCTGTGCGGAAATCCCCTCAGATAACACCCACTGGTGGTTATGTCGGACTCCAAAAACCGCACGCTATCTCGGGTACCAGTTGCTGGGGAACCAGGTGTACCCTAGAAAGGAAAACCCTGATACCCCGTCGTATCTCGGGCGTAAATGACCCCTCCTGTGTGGGAACCCTTATGTCCCCTTTGTGCTCCCGAAAGAACGTGAACGCTTCGAAGCGCGACTCGCCACCACCCCGGCCTGCTTCTGCTAGGGTGACAGATGGCCTAACCTACCAACCCCAGGAGGTCGAAGGACGGAGGTCATTCTGCGACCTCCGGCGCCTGAGTCATCTGCGTTACCTGGCCCGTTGCCGGGCCTGGCGCTCCGGGAGAGTTCTAAACCTCTCCCGATCTCGCTCCGCCATCTCCTTTGCAAACATAACTTGCTCGCAGAAGGCACGAGGCAACGCCTCTGCTCCACCCACGCCGGGCATTCTGCCAGCGTATGGAGCGCTGTGTCCACGGTTCGGCCATCGCAGTGGTGGCACTCAGGCGTGGGCTCCTTGCGGATCAGACACAGGTGATCTCCGAAGCATCCTTTCCCGGTGATCACCTGCGTCAACCGGTATGAGAGGGTTCCGTAATGCCTCTCGAGCCAATCCCCCATAACGGATCTTACCACCGCGATAACGGCGTGCCCGATGAATAGACACACCTCAGTTTCGATCATTTGAATTTGTAATTGAAGAGATGATTAATAAGCTGATAGAACGGTAATATTAATGTGCCGTTCTAATAATGTGCCGTTCTGGCTTGAGGCCGATTAAGTTTAACTGTCAGGCCGTAGTATCACTCCGGTTCTCCCACGGTATTCTTATAGTGAAAAATAACAAATAAATAATTTCAATAACGTAAGTTATCTTTCTCTCACAGCTATCGCACGTAGACGACAACGAAAAAGACTGTGGCGTTTGCGCGACGTGTGTCGTCCGTCTCAGAGACGCGTGCGCGTTCAGGAATCAGGTACTCCAGTGTGAGGAGCTGTTCCTTAGTGCTAAGCTTCAAGACAAGGATGTTGATGAAGGTAAGAGTTCCTTAAAAAGGAAAACCAACTTCCATGCGCCTACATAATGCTAAATTGTTGAATTATTGTATTAAACCATCGATTCCCAAAGTGGTCGATATTGACCCCTTGGGGCCGACATAAACGAAAACTGATATTGGGGGTTGACGAGGTCCAAAAATCAACGGCTATTAATTAACACAAGTTCTTGTTTGAAACTTTCAAGATACTGTACAAGTTGTGTTATGTGTACCCATTTGTTAAAAGACTGACTAATATGTCTAATTTTTTTAAATCAACAATAAACTATAAGTATTTTGTTTCAAGAGGAAAGAAGTTAAGATTTAAATTAATTTTGCTATGGGGGTCTCAGGTATCAGTTCATTTTAGAGAAGGGGTCTTCTGCCCAAAATAGTATGGGAACAACTGTATTAAACTGTATTCTTCATTATCTAATTTTCCACCCTTAGGGGTGGTAAATTAAATAAGGAAATTCTTTTACAACAAAGCGATAGCAACCCTACACACCAGTGATACAAGGTATTGCCAACAGTTTTATTTATTACTTTAGGCACCAAGGTGTACAAAGGCGGATTTACTTGCATTTAGCATTCTATGTCAGTCCTATGGATGATGTAGAAAAGAGAGACCAGGCACATTAAAGTGTATAAGAGAGTATTATAGGAAGAATAGCATAGAAATACTTCTTTCTATGAGGCCATTATCCATGCTGTATGCTTGTTTGTGTAGCAACTTACCAGTAAACTTTTCCAATATGTTTGCAGGAATAAAAGTCGACAAGGTTTCTCTGGATATAGAACTTAAGATGGAACCCAATGATGATGTCAGTGATCACGACTCACTGGGACCGGATATACCAGACAATGATGATGATATGTCAGTGAACATGGATGATCGTGGCGCTGACTGGATCATGGACAGTAAGATAATTTTTATTCTTTGACATATACAGACTGGGATAAGAGATATCACAAAAAATGAAATAACAGATAACACGGTTCAATATACGTCGGTTAAAATAAAAAAATAAAAAATTAGTACGAAAATACAGAAATGCAAATTTAGAACAAACTAAATACAATAAAATAATTTCCGAATTAGAACACCATTGATAACATGAGTCGGTGAACTGTACCTACACGGCAGCGACGCAATGTCGGCGATATCAAAACGACGCCGCCGCGGCCGCCGCCCCCGCGACGAGCCGGCGAACTTTACATTCTTATTACCTACCTACCAATCACTTCACTTGCTTTTTAAAATCTATTTATAAAGAATACGATTTTATTCACGTGTTTATTTCGGGAATGCTCGACTAGCTTCGGACCCAGCAGTACGCGTCACTCCTTGAAAAAGTAGGTACCTTGGTTGTCTCGTAATCTTTGTACCGCCCTTACAAAAATTCGGCAGTCTGTAGGACATACACGATTGACTCCATACGTATCCGTAAAGCAAAAGATGCGTTTTGATAGAGTTTTCCATAAATTAACATCATAGCAGGATATTCCGCGGCTGTGAAGGTCACTCACGGCATTATGGATGTTGATACCGATAACCCAATAAAATTAAAAGACTGATAATGCACTCAGTTTCACACTACACTACACACAGAACCTAATAGTGACTTTTCAAAATAAAATTAGCAGGACTCCTTACACTACGAAGTCTTGCGCACACGATAACATTAATTGTTCAAACCATTGCCGTGTATTATGACGAAAGCAATAAGACTAAACAATTATTACCACAAGAAAACTTTTCTAAACAAATATGTATCTCATAAACAACAACAATATTATTATTACGGTTATTTGTCGTGAGCGCATCTACAAGGATACGGAATAGCATAACACTCGCCGGTGACCAAGGGCCGACTGACTGTCCTTACTGGATGAACTAATTAAAAACGCGTGTTGCATCGTGATGACGTAATAATCAACACATTTCGTTCGATTCGGGTGTAGTAAAAGCGGCAACGTGTGATTACCGCGCCGCGTATACCTACAGCTGATCGCCGCCTGAGGTCAATGTATTATGACTGCATGTACACATGATGTTGCAATTTACGAAAACAAAACAAAAATCCTGTTTCTAAACCACTGAATATTTTTTGTTCATATTTTGCAAATCGTCTAGAAATAAAGTGCAGAATATGATGTTAAAAGCTTTGCGTTAATATATGAAACAGACTGTATAACAATATGAGAAACAAAACATCGAAAAATACAAAAAAAAATAGTGAAGTCGTACATTAGTCTTATTTGATGAGGAATATCTGACATCTTACCTACTGTTTGATGGAAAACTCCAAATTTACCTTACAAACGAGCAGACAGATCACCTGATGATATATGACTACAGCTGCCCATGGACACCTGCTACTAGACTCACAAGTGCATTGCCGCCCTTTAAAAAATATCACAAGGGGGGGGGGGGGGTAGGGGGCTGGGTAAGTGTCAAAAGGTCCTATAAAAAGATATAGGGAAATTTTTAATTTACTTCACTGGTAAATAGTTGACAAAGCAGATTGTTGCTATTGTGTGTGTTCGGACATCTGACACACAACGCCATGTAGTGTCAAACTAAGCAGAGCCAGCACTATGAAAGCTTGATTGACTGATAGATTACTTGTATACTGTCTTTTTCGTAAATACATACATATGCATAGAAAACACCCAAACTCCGAAACAAATATTTGCAGATCATATAAACATTTGGTCAAACCTGGAAGTCGAACCCGAGACCGCAGCAGAGCAGTCGCATACGCTACCACTGCACCAACGAGTTTATGAACTTAGACTGCCTTAGAGTCTACATAAAAGACGAATTCAAATAATTTAAAAAACTATACAAAGATTTGACTGTATATATATGACTTGTATATAAAATTTGCAATGAGAGGGAATCTAACTCACGACTTTTGTGTGTAAGTATACTATTACAATGGCTGCTTTCATAAAATTCTCCTATTTTAATCTTTCAGAAGTTAAACCTTCTAAAAAAGAAGAACCAATAAAAGACAAAGCAGAAGTTCCTACAGAAGATGCCTCTAAACTTCTAGACGATGACGACGACAGCGACTGGTCAGCCTCCTCATCGGACTCAGATAAACCTATCAAGAAGAAAGCTAAGAAGAAAAGCAGTAAAGGTAGCAATGGGTCTCCTAAAAAGAAGAAGGTGGCTAGTAAAAAGCAGAAAGCAGGTTTGTTTTTTAGCTTCTTGAAAGAGATCCTAAAACCTCTTAACTTGAATTACCATATTTGTGCAGTCTGGCAAATCAAAAAAGTGTTTTTCTTTATTAAATTTTTAATTTTTTTTTAATAACGGATTATGTCGTCATTCTCCACTATTGATTTTATCTGTAGTTTCAACAATAAAACCGTTTAAAGACCGAAAATTAACATTACTTTTAATAATATTTCTTGTTGCTTCCATCATCACTTATAAAAATAAATAAATTAGAATCTTTAAAAAAAATCCCAAGCGTCAAAATAACACCTAATCATTTTAAATGCACCAACCTGCATGCAACCTGATCCTACAATTTCCTCCCCAATTTAGTAAAAAAATATATCATAATCCAACATTTTTATTGTCTAACAGTAATATAAATTTTTTCAGGAACCTCATCAACTAAAAAAGAAATTCCAAAAGCCATTAAACCAAAACCTCCTGTAGAGAAGAAAAACAATTATGACAGAGACTTAGATTGCATGTCCGAAGAAAATTTACTCACTATCATCCAATATTCATATGTGTGTCCGTTCAAAAACAGACGCAACAATTACTACTGTTTTTACTGCAAAGACTACTATCCAAAACCGGAGGATTTAAGAGAACACACTATAGGACACGACACCAAGCCTTTTCAGCTGCTCATGGGGTACAAGAAAATGATTAAAATCGACATTACAAGAATAGATTGTCGGCTGTGTCAAATGAAAATAGACGATTTAAATGTATTTAAACAGCATATAGACGAAATTCATCATAAAAAGATATATTTTGAAGCGCCGGACAAAATGTTACTATTTAAATTAACTTGGAACGATTTAGTTTGTGTAATGTGTAGTGATGTGTTCGAAGATTTCAACACACTAAACACACATATGGTAGAACACTTTAGTAACTACACGTGTGATATTTGCGGTGTATGTTTCTTAGAAAAACCAAGATTGGATGCCCATTTGAAACGACACAAGGACGATGAGAGACATACCTGTGAAGTCTGCGGGAAAGTGTTCAAATCTAACCATTATAAGGATATGCATGTAGATATTGTACATAAGAAAAAGGCCATTATTCGTTGTCCACGGTGTGATGAATGTTTCATGTCATACGCATTAAAAAACAAACATTTAACAGAAGCCCACGGACAAAAGAGAACTTACCCGTGCAATTTGTGTGACAAAGTCTACAATAGACAAAAGACTCTAACTGAACATCAAAGGAGGAACCATCAAAAAGTTTTGAAGCACCAATGTGAATATTGTGACCAACGGTTTTATCTCCCGTCTAGGTTGAAAGAACATATGGCAACACACACCGGTGAAAGAAACTTCCGTTGTGAATACTGTGAGAAGAGTTATCCAAGATTAAAATCTTTACAGTATCATATAAGAACTCATACTAACGATAGAAGATATAGGTGTCACCTTTGTGGGCAAGCGTTCATACAGAACACCAGCCTCAAGTCTCATATTAAAAGCCACCATCCCGAGTGTGAAATTGAAGGAGAAGTGTGTTATTTCTGAAGCTTTAAGGTATTTTTTAGCTTGTATTGTGTGAGTAAGGAAATTGGCATGACGTCACTATTGCTTAGTTCAATCATTTTTATTATAAAAAAAAAATTGAGGCATTTGAACTATTGTGACTCTGAAAACTGTTACTCGCTTTGTTTATTAAATGTACAAGATTCTCGTATAAAGGTGCGTACCCACTGTGTCGTAACCGTTCTTTTAATTGCAGCGATCATTTCATAGTTTAGAACAAATTATCAATAGTTACATCAGATTTGTGGAACAAAACAAGTTGGAGTAATTATAAAGCAAATATTAAACAAGCGAATCTTATACCTCACCTACCAGCTGACGTCCAACTTTAGCTCAATTTAGCTTTAGCTCCCTGGTTTCCTGTTACATACTTCCGTCCCAATTCACATACTCACTTACATTACCGAGAAAAGATTTTAAAATATTTACTTTATTAAAATATCTTGCTAAGGACGAGTGTCTTGGTTGGCTTCGGCTTTAAGTCTACTACGACTCGGCTGAACCTCGATTTTTTACGTGGAACGACTCCCATCAGACCTCTACAACCCAAGTACTAGGTGATATCGAAGTCCTGTAGAAAAACTGTTGTCGAACTTTTAAGGGCTCCAACTATCTGTAACGATTGCCACAGAAATTCGTATGGCAAACGGGAACCACGGCTTAACGTGCTTTCTGAGGCACGGAGGGGTCTCAATGTGTTGAGAACGGTCACCGATCCATTGACTAACCTGACTAGGATTGCTTTGCAATGTGCTAACCTACTCGGTTACTACTAAGCCATGAGACCCTGAGTCACGAAACAGTATTATTATCTAGTATGTATTTAGAAATTTATAATTAATTTATCACTAGTCTGGTTAATATTGTACAGGCTCTGCATATTATGGAATCAGACGGCCGTGAGTGTGTAAGATATTAAAAAAAAAACCGCTACGACATAGTGGGGACGTGCCTTTAATTGGCAAACAAGCACACGGCTAACGGGCAACGGGTCCCTGTGCTTATAACATAAAGGGTACCTTATCTGAGTTTAAGGTACCTTACTTACTAGCAGTAGAAAATCCAAGCTTGTTAACTGCAGCTTTTATTGAAACCTATAGATACCTGTAACTCTGTGAGGGGGGGGTTGAAATGCAACAAAAGTGTTGCTCGATAAAGCAGACCCTTAAGTGCTTACAGCATTAAATAATTGCATTTAAAATTATCTATATTCTTGTGAACGAGAATTGTTCTTGCATGTCGAGTCGTAGCAAACGGAAAAACCATCTTCAAAAAAGGAGGAAGCTCATTTGAAAGGGTATTCTTTGTGTTTGGTCCCATTTAAATTGCCAGAATAAATACCAAAGGGTTGGAAGTTAGAAATGAAGAATACGGTTCATCACAATTTAAAGTTAATTATTACTGACAGTATTTAGCAACCCCTAGTACCAATCTCACATAAGCAGGTGCTTAGATTTGAGACGGTCTCTGATCTGAATAAAAATTAATAGAACATTTGATCTCAATTTTATCAAAATTAAACTTTGTTATAAGTTTTTATAATCGTAAAATTATTTAATTTTAATTTTATATAAAAAATGTATTTTTATTATATAATTTAAGATATGAGATCTAGAATAATCTGTATACTTTATTTATTATACAATTTATAAACAGAAGAATACAATAATTGTAATCATTTAAAAAAAATGTTGTTATTTTATAAAAGTTATCTTCGGGCCCCACAAGGGCCCTATATCAAGGAGTGGAGCGATATACTACGTAAATGATACTAATCGTCGTCCGATGCCATAATATTTCATTAAAATTCAGGTCAAAATCAGATCAATTCAAAAATAAATTTATCATAACAAATACAATAAACTTAAATCATTGAAATGTCTAGAAAATCTGTCAAAGCTTGAAAAAAATAGGGTCTAATAGTTGGCCACTAGGTTCCGTTCCTGTCGCTGTGTGTTTCGAAACAATAACTAGCTAAATATACCATCTGAATATTAACAATTTTATTCATTTTTTATGTCTTTCCTCTCGGTTTTTTGAAACGGGACGGAAATGTGTTACAAGAATCCGTTAAAGCGTTCTCTATTTCACTTGACTAATAAGCGCGCGGTGTTAGAGTTGGTTTAGTCCATTTACAAACATACATGTAACGGACACAAAGAACTGACCTTCTCCATCCGAGTCACAACATACATCCATCTCAGCATTCGTATTACGACTATGTTCAGGCGTCTCCCATCCGTTCTCTTGATGGGCCAACTTTCAGAACCATACTCGGCAGGTCTGATTATAATTTTATACTACTAAGCCATCCGTGCAGTGCAGTGTAATGTCAGTAGTAGCAGTCAGTCTGATTGAGTGATTGAGAAGAACAAACGAACGTATCCATAGACATTTTTTTCCAAAATGATTTTTACAATTCGTTAGACCATAAGCTCAAATTAAATTTAATACGAGAGTAATTTAATATTATAGTTTAAAATTTGAACAATGGGGCAAAAAGACTACTTTACAGACAGATTATTAAAATTTAAAGAAATAATTGTTTGGTGAAATTAAATTAAATTCTTCCATTATTTTTGAAGGAGTAGCTTACCTACCTGTTTTAGTAGCGACTTAATATATTTTAGATATAAGTAGTACTTATAAATAAGTATTAATAAATGCATAATAAATAAAAAAATCACAATTGTAATGTATTTAGATAATTATTTATTAAGTTTTGTATAATTATACAGTAATCATAGAATGGTGTTTTATTTTATTACAAGCTGACCAAGTGCAATTCGTCTGCGTATCTTAAAAGGAACAAATTTGTCCCTTTTTTGCAATGGTTTACATTGCTCCTATTGGTTATAACGTGATGAAAAAAAATCTCGATAAATGGGCTTTGGGCTTTTTAGCCTTTTAGCCGAGATAAGCTTTTTTAAATAAACAAACTCTGTCGCTTTATAATATTTTAGTAAATATTAGAAAACCATTCCAGGAGCTTGAAGGTGTCTTCCAAAGAGGCAGTAAACGGTTTAGGGAGACTAGATACCTAAAACAAAAATAACGTACAAAGGCGGCCTTATCACTTAACTAAAAAAAAAACCAGGCAACCTTTGGATGAACTGGATGGGAAATATAACCAATAGCTACAGTAGGTCTGGATGTCTTCTAAGAGGGGTCCGTATGCCTTAATTAGAGCACTTACAGCTGATCCCACTTATTTGAAGCGCGGAGTGGCACACTGTGTGCTTTTAGGCGGTTCGATGCCGACTCAGCCCGTCGCAAACCCTGTGGAGGACGGCCTGAGGGTTACCACAAGTAAAGAAAAAAAAAAAAAAAGTCTGGAAAAGGAGAAAGTTCTTACTTTTAATCGAATTAGCTATTCTACTAAAGTCCGAAAAAAATGTCCGAGCCACTGACTGAATCTATCGTTAAAAATACATCGCCAAATGTATTGATAAGCGCAAAACTCGAGAAAGGTTAGACCAAATCGGCATTTTTTTTCTTCTTAGGGATAGAAACAATTTAAACATTGCAATGGGAGAGGCCTATGTCCGGCAGTGGCTTATGATAGGCTGATGATGATAATGAGGAAGATAGTGGAAACAACACTTTTCCTTTTTTTATACAAACCACAGAGTAAATTATAACACCTGTCCCTAGCTGTCAATCATTTCAATCAAAACAAAGGTGCGTTATAATAATCTTTGGTATGCCTTCGAGTTGATTAGCCTGTACGGATATTAATCTGTGCCTGCCCAAAATAAAGTTCGAAGAAAAGTGATCACTGAAATAAGTTTTATTTCTATATTTTTTCTATTGAAAAAAGCCAATAACTTTTGACAGAACGAACTCTGTTGGGGCTGGTTGGGGCAGTAATATTTACTTTCCTGGTTTTACCATACGCAAGAACATTTCCTGGCTAAGCCACTTCTCTTCATGAATATGTCGTCTGATATGATAACCCTGATAAATCTCGCATTCTTTATCAATGCCTATTAAAAACTGTAGTCAATTGAGAAATCATTTTATATCAAAACACACGCTATGATGACAAGTCATAGACAGTTTTACATTCTATCCGCTAGACGGCGCTATAAGGAATAATTGAAACAATTATTTTGTGTTACTAAATAATCATCATCAGCCTATCGCAGTGCCCTGGTGGACATAAGCCTCTCCCATTACACGCCACACATACAACACAATTAGTTTGATTACCTACATTTTTTAAGTTATTTTCACATTGAGTTAAACAACTAGAGAAGCAAACCTCATTACCACTCGCCAAAAAAAGTGTAACAAGTATTAAACTGTGACGACGTAGCTTTGAAACCATTAGACATTGACATTTGAAAGTAAACATGCATATGTCTCACTTACACGCGTCGCAAGAACAATACCGTCGCTAGGATTAGACAAAGACAAACACATAAACATGCGATGGCGGGCCAGTGTTGACTACCTTACCCATAACAACCTATTTTTGTAATTAAATAAATAAATTAAATTATTTTAAAAATATTTATTGAATGGAATAGGAATGATTAATAAATTAATTAAACAGATTTTCCCAGTATAATTATTATTTTATATTCTATGAAGCATCAGTTACTTATACGAATTGTCTTTTAGACTCTTTTTTGTAAGTTTAAGTGAATACTTGAAAATGATTACTTTCATGACACCATCTCATTTTTAAATATGTATAAATAAATAATGACAGATACTTAATAAAACTTGTATTGATAATAAAATAATCTTCAGGGTGTATTATTTTCAATATTGTTTGCATTCAAATTATTGCCACCCATTTCTCAGACATGGCGTGCTGCATCTTTAGATATACCTACTGTAAAACTATTATTAGACAACTAAATAAGAAAATATAAATTAATTCTTTTGTATAAAAGTTTCTAGGGAATGGAGGTGAACGCAGGTCACTAAAAAAGGATATCGGTCCAATCTTATCAGCTACCAGTCCCACTGTA